TGTCACTTAACTGCTGCAAGGGAAGGGCGTCTTTTCACTGCTGCGCTCTCCTCAGGTTCTGACAGAACTGTGTCCCAGGGCTAATGGTCGTCACAGCGTCTGCCGCTATCAACAAGAAAACACACAAACATCCGCACGTATAAAGTTGAATGTGCTCAAACACTGGCTGCCATCATCCTCTCAAACTCTTCTTGAGGGTGATCAGAATGAATTTGCATATATTCTTAAATGTAAGCGCTGAACTCTGTAATTATGTGAAGCCCTGAGTGTGTGCGATAGACTGCGCCTGTAATTGTTTGTGTATGGGAAGAGCGGCATGTTTTCAGCAGCAACGAAAGGGGAGGTGCTCTCACTGAATGCAGCCCCTCTAGCAGCTGTCTAACACAGCTGTGGCAATTCATAAAAGATACACAAGCACACCCACATTAACATAAACACACATATACACACACACATACACACACACGGCATTAAATCTGAGAAGGCCTCCTGGGGATGATACCTTCCTCCTCATGTTTTCGTGACACAGGCGATGATAATTAGACTAATTCAAAGTCTCCTCAGAGCGAGGGACAGAGATGAGGCGAAGGCATGCAGACACCCCTGAAAGCTCCACAGCTAGGTAGACCTACACACACACACACACACACACATACATACAGGGGTGATAGAGAGTTCATCCAGCTTCCTTCCATATTGTAGCATAACATTACTGCTCAACAGGATCCATACCTTATTGCTGTCAGGAGTGGGGAGTATCCAGAGGCTGAATGGGGATTGAGTAGGTACTGCAGGGGGGCTTTTTGAGCATGACCAGTGGAAGAGGCTGGAGAGTGAGAGAGAATGGACAGCTGACCCTTTTACAGAGCTGCAGCTCGCCCAAATTCAACTTCAAGGACAGTTTCCAAAACTCAAAAGTGATGTTCTTCTTCTGAGCAACAAATAGAGTTTGAGAGCCCTGGAGTCCAATATTACAACTATGTTAAAGATGAGCTGTTGCACACCAAAATTACTGGACACTGACTTTACTGTAAGCAGTTTGTTTACAGCTTCCTCAGATTCATCTACAATGCTTAGTGTTCACCCATAGACTGTATATAACTATGGGAAACTTGGTTCCGCTTTTTGTCATTATACGAATTTGAAGCCAAGTTGCTCTCGATATTTCCAGGATTTTCTCCACTTCCTGGAACCACCACTTGCGCGGAAGTGTTGTAAGTATTCCACGGGAGAGTTGCTGTGTTGACACTTGGCTCAAACAGCGTATACCCTAGCCTGGCTGGGCCATCCAGTTGCATGAATCACTTACCGTTCCTTCCCACAATAGTCTGGACTTCGGCCAATTGGGAGCGTGTATTAGAAATCAGAAAATAACCGGGCCAATCAGTGACTGTGTTTCCACTGTTCCCTGGACAACAGTGAAAGGCAGCCCCTGATTGGTCCATGTGTAGATGGTGGCGTCTAACACATGCTTCGGGACTTTTCAAAGCGCCGTTCATTCAGAACGCCATTAATTCTGCAGTTGACTTTGCAAAGTTGGCAGAAATAGTTTATATCCTCAGAAGAAGATGTGAAAGACATTGTTTGCTCGCACACGTTGAAATATTACCAAACCTCTACTTGATGCTTGAGAGCCCAGCAGGGAACACAGTTGCGCACTGTGATGATGTCAGATGTTTGGTTACGGTGATTGGTTACAGTAGTCTGTCTATCAAGGAAAGTACTCCCACCCACTTTTAGGGCTCCCAATTGGCCAAAGTCCAGACTGTTGTGGGAAGGAACAGCAAGTATCCCCCAGGTAAGCTACGCAATCTTCGTAGGCTGTATCACTTGTCAATTATAGAAAACATGAACCCCCTTATAACTTTTAAAAACGCCGCTGCACAGACAAAAAAGGATTTGAGCACAAACCAGTATCTACATATCAACCTCACAAGCAGGGAGGAGAAAAATTTATATTCTGTGTAATAAATTTCTAAAGTTTGTCCACAGCTCAATAGAATTTAATGGAGGAGGCGGGATTTACCTATACTGCAGTCCCTCACCTGAGGGTGCTGTTCTCGGAGTGGCTTCACCCAGTGAGGAGGCAGATGGCGTCCATTATACAGTACTTGCATTATACAGTTCTAGTACTTGCACCGGGCTTCGCCACTTACCAAATTTGCAAAGTGCGCTTGTGCCACGCCTGCTGCCAAATTCGAGCCCCAAGAAACCAAATGTAACTACAATAACCATGGAATATCTCAGTGATAAGAAAAGGGGTAAAATGTGGAGGTGGATCATCTCAAAGTGCGAAGGGATGCAGGCACAACGTCAAGATGACGGACCACTTCAGTTTACTGAAAGAGTTTGCACCACTTTTCACTTGAAGTGCAACCAAAATCTTTTCTCTTGTTTAAGAGAAATAGATTTCACTGAAGTATTGAAACATGTTTGATGTGGGACTCTTAAAAAAAACATGTCATGAAGCTTATTCAAGGCAAAAAATGTAAGAACTGCCCAATCAGCCTGAATTCATCGTAAAGTTTAAGAGGAAGGTAGAACCATCGGAAAAGCCTTCAGGTCATTATAATTAAAAGTTTCTTCTTTTGGCTGATGGCATGTTTTTTTTTGCAAACTTCACAGGATTGATTCTTTGAGACCATTTCCACAGATTTAAATGCAAATCTGGAAACTTGACAGAACTCTTTCATTTACAACCGATGAACCTTTCCTCAAAATGCTGGCACTGCCCATCGATACTCAATGCAGTGGTGCACACATCAAGTGGAAGTTGAGAAAGGTTTGATTTTATGTAAACAGTCTCTGGCATGAAGGATCTACTGCCTGGCAACAGCCAGTGGCCACTTGTTTTGGAGTTTCCTGCAGATCTGAAGCACATAGTTGTGTCCTACTCCACTCAGCGATTTAGAAAAGCTGAAATGGGAAATAAATGGAAAGAAAAGCTGAAGCTGAGGTCTACTATCAGAAAAATCTACTGAACTGCTCCTTCAAATACCAACCACAGAAAGAGACAGCTGAGTAAATAAACCAGGAGATGCACAGTAGTCCTGGAAATAACACCGGTTAGTGTGAAGTCAGCACTGAGCCAAAGCTTGTGTATCCTTTTTGTCAGATCTGCAACTATTGTAAAAGCGAGGTTGGAATAATAACACCGTACAAAAACTGTTGTAGAAACCGTCCAAATTTAGATTTGTTGTCTTGAGCCAAAACTTAACTTGAAGGAGTTCTTGAAAGTTTTCAGGCAGGTGAGAGCCCAGAAAACTTCCCAACTCATATCTGTATCGATGGTGACAGGAACCAGCACAGAAAAGGGTTAAATTTTCAGGGAACATAAACAGTCACTTTGTAAAAATACAGAAATGAGTTTGTTGTAAAGGGGGAAGGTGAGGGGATACTCTACCCAAACATCTCCTGTGTGTTCCTCAGAAACAAAGTTCCTGCAAACGAAGCAGCATTGCAAACTTCATGCAGGTGTTTGCAAGATAAACCTGCAAAACTTTTATCACGTGCAGAAAGATGTTCTCTTATTTTCTAGATGAGTACCACATATATGTGGTCAGGTGGTGAAAATCTTTGTCATGTTCATGTAAGAGTTTAAAATCAGTGGATAGAGTGCAGCAGAAGGGAGGATGCAAAGCTTTGGAAGAAATCTCTATAATCGCCTCTCTGTTTGTACAAACACAACACTAACTTACAGCGCATAAGGCCTGAGATGTTCTGTTGCTTCATCTGCTGGAACATAATGACTGGAGCCTCTTCTAATGGACCATTACACTGACTAAACAGCCCTGCTGGGACCCATAATCCTCTGCGCTTGCCCGTCTAACACCTAAAGTACTGCTGTAGTACTACTGTAAAGTCAGGTTACATTTTATGGTCATATCTGGGTAATCCAGCTGGTATAAATGGGTCAAAAACAACAGTAAAAAGAGTTTAACCTGTACCACTAACCAAAATGTTTCAAGTTAACGCTTTAATTTATGTAATGAAACACTCAATTTGCAAAACCAAGTCAAAGCTCTCAGCACGGTCGAGACTTTCTCCCTTTTTGGATACATAAATAAAGTTTGATTGATTCATTGATTCATTGATTGATTGATTGATTGACATTCCACTGCCTGATGGATCCAGAAAAAGACAACATGGGGAGGATGACAATACAGTTTCCACACTGTACAAAATAAAAATATAAAATTGTAACTTACGATAAATGTTCATATTTTGACTTGCGGAGTGTGATAATATGTTTTTAAAATCATTAAATATCACCCATGAAAACAGTCAAGTTGTAAGAGTGTGTTAGACATGTAAAATAAGATGATGGATCGCTCAGTTTGGATATGAAACAGGTCCACCACTCTATTGGCATAGCCGGCCCACAATGGGAAGAGACCATAGACTGTATATACTACGGACAATTTAGTTACGCCTTCTGCCAGTATACAGATTTGAAGCTGAAAAGCTCTCGGTATTTCCGCGATTTTTCTTCATTTCCTAAAACCAACATTGCGCAGTAGCGTTGTACGCACTTCAACACTTGTGCAGTAGCGTTTTACATATTTGTCGGGAGAGTCGCTGTGATGACACTCGGCTCACACAGCGTATCCCCTGGGTGAGCAATGCAATCTTCGTACACCCATAGGCTGTATCAAGTGTCACAGAGAAAATAAACCCCCTAATAACTTTTAGAAATGGAGCTGTAAAGAAAAGAGAGGACTTGAGCACAAATCAGTCTTACTATAACTAAATGTCAACATCACAAACAGGGGGGAGAAAAATTCATATTCTGTGTAATAAACTTCTAAAGTTTGTCCACAGATCCATATGGATTGCTGGAGGAGGCGGGATTTATGACCTATACTGCAGCCCCCCACCAGATGGTGCTGTTCTCGGAGTGGCAAACGGCATCCATTCTATATACAGTCTATGGAAGAGACTCCAAAACTGACTACAAATGACACATCTTTTGCAGCTATTATTCTCTCTCTTTGTGGTTGTTTCCGGCCTTCTTGTTGTCATGTTTCATTCTATGTCACTTTTTTACCAGCAGAATTATTCTGATGTTTTCATGACCTGGTTTATTTTTCAATGACTTAAGGGAAACATTTGGTCAACATCCAAAACCTCAAGATTTTAAAACAGCATAGGTGGAGCAGAGTTCTTTAGCTCATCTGAAAATACACGTCAAGATCCAGAGGAGAGGAATCAACAGTAGCGGCGAGCCTCCCAGCTGATTCCCTGAGCCAGATCCAGATATTCAGTGAAAGAGACGAATTTTCTCTTTTATGTAAAGGGCCTAGTTTATTATCTTTAGTTCACATGTAAACGCAAATATAAATTGCCTAGTTATTTTTTTTAAAGTAAACTAAGCAGCAGCCCTTCAAACAAATGAGGTGTGAATCCAAGAGAGAGTCTACATCAATTTAATTACATTTTTAATCCCCGGGTAGCTGCTTAACAGACTTCTTTGTTTGCTTCCACACTGTCTTTTTTAAATAAAGGTGGAATCAACTTTTAAACCAATAGGCTTGCTTTGGTACTAATCTTAAAAGTCATTTGGAAATACTCGTGCTCTTTGGCTTCCTCCTGCTTCAGCTGTTATTCTCTCTCTGTGTGCATTAAGACTCAGAAATAGAAACACTCAGAACTCAACCACTTGTCTACCAGAGTCCCTTTACTGTGTTCAGTCATCAAATACTAAGGCTGTCAAGAAAGATGCCAATCTGAGGACCCTTTGATGGGACCCTGCATTATGTTACCTGAAAGTGAGAGGGAGAGAGGCAGATATTAGACAGGGTTTAGTGACTCTTGTCTAATTTCTATGACCAGACACCCGGTGAAACGATATTAGAAAAACTACAGGGGTGTTAATTCTGGCGGTGGTCTGTATGGGACTCCCGTCCGATGACCTGTGATGTGAATGGATGATGTCTGAGTTTCAATAACAGTCCAATATTGTCCCAATGTTCTGGCTTGAATCTATCTTCTGTGCTATAATGAAATACACCGCTGACAGGATCAGCTGTGGGGTCGAAAGATAACCGAGAATCAAATCCAATAAAAGCTCTGAATTTCACCTGAAACCCACCAACCACTAAAGTTAGATAAATTTAGGTCAACTCTCACAGCAATAGACAAATTCAAGCTGTGGTATGACATAGTCGTCTCCCCTATAGACCATATATGAGAAGGGGACCCAGGATAGCCAAGTTGAGCTTTGGCCAACACTTTATTTCTTTGCCAGTCTCCAGCCTTGATGGAGTGAGTGATTTGAATGTGTTGGCTGCTATCTTTGCACTTCCCTGTTTAGAAACCAAAAGGTGACAATACATACATTTGTACATGACATGAAACACTATATTGGCTGTATTGATTTAGACATTTTCAAGTAAAATAATTGTATCTCAGATTTGATAGGTTAGTGCCTCCATGACGACAATTTTCTTATCTTGCCTCCTCTGAATCACATGAAACTTTACATTCTTATTCCTATCACAATGAAACCATGACCTTTTTCACCACTGAAATTCTTAACAGATGTAGAAAATAACATCCACACCTATTTTATACTCATCTATTTGTGTATTTTAACGTCTAGCTTTTGCCCTTTTCCTCTTCTTCATGACGCCTTACTGCAGCTTGGTTTTGTTTTAGCCATTCAAAATTAACTAGATTTTGGTTTTGACCAGGGATGTTAACAATTATTGAGTATTAAGTAATTGATTGTTAGACCCTTACTGTCAGTTCCTTGTTTTTTGCTACAGGACCTTAGACTGTATATAGAATGGACACCGTCTGCCTCCTAGCTTGGTCAATCATAGAAAACATGAACCCCTAATAACTTTTAAAAATGGAACTGTACAGCAAAAAGAGGACTTGAGCACAAATCAGTCTTACAGTAACTACATGTCAACATCAAAAACAGGGGGGAGAAAAATTTATATTCTGTGTAATAAATGTTTTAAAGTTTGTCCACAGCTCCATAGGGATTGCTGGAGGAGGCGGGGTTTATGACCTATACTGCAGCCCCCCACAAGAGGATGCTGTTCTCGCGGTGGCTTCACCCAGTGAGGAGGCAGACGGCGTCCATACTATATGTTTATGGATACAGCCAATGGGCGTATTAAGTTTACATAGCTAACCCAGGGGATACCCTGTTTGAGCAGGGTGCCATCACAGCGACTCTTCCACCGAATGCGTACAACGCTACTGCGCAAGTGGTGGTTCCAGGAAGTGGAGAAAATCCCACCAAAATACCGAGAGCAATTCGGCTTCAAATTTGTATAATGATGGAAGGAGAAACCAAGTTGTCAGTAGTATATAAAGTCTTTGTGCAGGACCTTGTGACCTGGTTGAACCCCTGACTTACACTGACTATGAAGACAGGTTTATTTTTCTCATTGGGAATGAGTGAAACTGAACACTGTGAGTCCAAAATATTTTCTGTTTGGTTGTCTCATCGCAGCATTTTCACATTTAGTCTTTTGAGCCTTGCTTTGTATGACTGAATGTCTGCAGAGATTATTTCTGCACCTATATACGTTTTGTTGCTTTGCTGTACCATCAGTTACATCCATTGCATTGCTGTGGAAAATATATGATTTAGGAAATAATACATACTTGGTATTGATTTTTTTCACTGGATAAACCAAAGTTTCTCAGAATACTCTGAATTTTTAATTCTAGTTTTGACTGATCTAAATTAAGTATTTAACACAAACCATCTAATGAGAAATAAGATCAAATCAGAGCAGAAAACTGTCTGGAAACAACTCTTTGGTCTTCTCAGCAAATATCTGTCTCACCTTAATGCTAGGCTACTGCTTCTTCCTCTCTTTTGTCATGGCTAAGGCAATCTGATAGTCATTTTTCAGGGGAGTGTCATTCATACGAATAGGGAATGCACAAAGGCTTGTCATTCACCTTGGCTGAGGACAGTGTTTAGGGTTACCGATAGCCATAATCACACCAATCCACACAAACCCCCCCTCTGCCTGAGCTCGCTTCAGGCAAGGGCACGGATTACCACAAGAAAACAATTTGAGGGGCCCAGAGCACGCTGCATTCACCGGAGTCAGAGCGGATATGAGAGGCAGGGTCTGTGTTCTCCCTGATATTTATCCATCTGAGGCTGAGCATTAGAGGAGATGTCACCCAAAGAGAGGTCTCCGGGTCTGTGGCCTGGTATTAAACTGATCTATGCATACATCCTGGGGAGATAACACCACAGATCATTGAACAGCACATAGAAACAGTCTGAGGGAAAGTGGTACTCTGCTGCATACTGGGGTGGTACGAGCTGCTTGGATGGGGTCAGTACCCAATTCATCACCTCTTAAAAAGAGCCAAGAAAAACCCACCAAGATTCAGTTTCATCTGAATGTTTGTAGACATCCTGCTCACTATTAACTCATGTTTGCAGTTCACTCACCTTTGACTGCTGATAAGACATTTTATATGCAAAGTTCTCATAGTTTTCTATTGTCATCAGTCAAGACTGTGGGATAAATTTCCTCTGAGACCTCCTGTGAGAATAAACAGAAAAGCCAAGCTGCCTTTTAGTTGGTATCAGAAAGTTGTCCACACTAATTGAACCGTAGAAACAGGAATTCAAAGACTGTTTTAAAGTCTACATTAGCCTGGCTCTTGTGTGAAGTAGCTCACCCTTCAGTGGCCGCCTGTAAGTCTGGGCAGAGTGCAGTCCCAGCCTGGCTGGCACCCACACAGAGAGGAAGCGTGGCAACAACAAGGTGAAAAAGTAGCAATTACATAAAAGAGAGCGAGCCAGAGTGAGGCTCTCCTTGCTTCCCCCATTCTCTGCCACCTCCTTTGGGTTAAACCAGCGAGATCAATCCACAGCTGTGAAGTGTTGAGGGCACCTTGAAAATGCTGCTATTTATTTGTTTGAAAGATCAATCCACAGCTGTGAAGTGTTGAGGGCACCTTGAAAATGCTGCTATTTATTTGTTTGAAATGTACCTTTCCTTTCTAGTCCTCTTAAGGCCACCTGGGAATCCTCCATTGATTTCCACTTCAATAACTTGACCTCTGACCCTCAAAAAGGACGTGACGTCCCTTAGCTGGCTTCTTACAGCCAGATGTTGTAAGCGAAATCTCCAAGCCTCTATTTCATGGTCTCACTCATTTACATATTTTTTGTTAACTTAGGTTAATTGCAGTCTCTTCCTGAGTCCACAACAAATGAGCAACGAGCAGCCGCAGACTCACAGCTGTTTCATTGTTTCCCCGAAGCTCAAGATGTCAGCAGCCTCCAGTTCAGCAGTAAACTTTGAATCACAGAAAGAGAAACAGAGGAACATTTACATGTACCTATAGAGATAATCCATAATCCATCCACATACAGAATAGCAGTCGCATTTACGCTGGTGCAACCCCCTTGTATTTCTTGCATTTGTATTGCATCTTTTCCAAAAGAAGGAAGTGATGTTGTTGTTGCTGCTATCCGGGATTCTGATTGGCTAACATGGGCTTGAGCTTCTTGCTACACTGCCACCTACAGGTTTGGCATGCTCTTGACGGCATACATACATTGGTAAGTGTCAACGAAAACTTTTCTGGAAACAGTGGTGTGCACGCAGTTTTTTTTTTTTTTTGTAAACAGAGAGGGTGAAATGTCCATTTATGAAAACAGCCGGGCACGTGTAAACATAGTCAGAGAATCAGCCACACGATTCACCCTGCAAACAGAGCATATGCACCTCAAGATTACAGAGATGAGGCTGTTCGATCACGTCAATCAATATTGTTCTTATTACACACAGAATCTGCATCTATGCTGCGGGATCACAGGCAGAGCCAATGGGTTTATTTTGAAAAGCTTACTGTGTTATCTTAATGAGACAGGGATAGCTTAATTTGTGTGATTTTCCAATGTGAAACAAAGAAAATGAAGGTGAAGAAACTTGTTTTTTCATTGTGATATTGAAATAAGATGTTCTGAGCTAATTTTTCCACGTTAGTCCTGTTTCTTAATCAATTGTGCCTTTGTCCCCCACTGTTTTGTGTACACTAAAGTTACAACATTAGTTTCTTTGTTGTAAATCTATGTTTTCTTCTCACAGAACCCCTTACTTTAGACCAAAAACTACAAAAGTGTAATATAAAACATTAGTATTCAGAGTACCCACGCTTAAAAGATGTAATACATGATGTTTTACTTCATGATATGATAAATATAGTCTTTCTATCTCCCCCATTCTCCACCTATGTGATGAACCAAGCTTAAATGTGGCAGATGGATGCATCCCAGGTATCATAACAACCAACTGTCACTGTGCCATCCCTCCCTGCTGTCTGTCCTTATACCTAAAAACCGAATCAGTGACCCAAAAAAGATGGATGTACATGTCTATGATGCATCAACATTTTGGGAAGAATATGTTGTATATATAGTAAGAAGCTTAGTCAAACACTGTCAGCTCCTATTTAACAGAAAATGGTTATAAACTGTTCATGACAACAGTGGAAGAGTAAAAGTACTAAAGGGGCTTGAGCACAAATTTTGTCTGTACTGAAATGTGTTATTGGAGAGCTGCAGTGGAATACAGAACATGACATCAGTTTATCAGAATATCTTCACCGTGGTCATTTTAGCCTTTTGCATTAGAATTGAAATGGTCCCTAAGAAACAGAAAAAGAAGCTGTAGTTGAATCAGACAGAAGAGTCTCACCAAACTCGAGCCTTAACACTTGTGACCTCTCATGAATAATACTTTAAAAATGACAGACTGTAGTTTCATTTCACCTTAAGTCCACTCATAGTGCTTTTACATTACATGTCACATTCACTCAATCAGATTACACTCACACACTGATGGCAGAGGCTGCTGTGCCAAGCCTCGGTCGGTACTAAAGGGATATTCCGGCGTAAATTTAAGTTATGGTCAAACACACTGCAACACTGAGTTGGCAGGAATGCATACTGTCTTTTCCTTTCCTGTTCCCATCGATAAAGTTGTCGTCAAATGATCAAATTCACAAGACTTCCTCAGACCAGCCTCATGTACAGCTCTTCATGAGGTCACTGTTGGTAGTTAAAAATGAACAATAATATGATGGGGGGGGTGACGATTTTATTCATGTTTACAATATTCAAGATGATGTTGACGTCAGACGCCCGCCAGCCAAATGACCAATCAATGTAAACTACAGAGACACACAAAGCACGTAGTTGATGAGGATATCACCTAAGTTCGTCACGTAAAGTTTGTCAGTCCATTTGCAATAATGACAGTGTGAAACCTAAACAGACCAAACCAAATGTGTACAGTGTAACAAAAACACGGACCTTGATCCGGAATTTCAGGTGTGAAAACTACCTCAGTTGACTTATGTTTACCTGCAGACACTGTGATCCTGTTAACCCTCACATACCGTTCGGGGTCAAATTTGACCCGTTTTGACTTTTAACAGCAGTAAAAATACCCTAAACATCATTTTTTAAGCCTGAAACTTTTCCTGAAATAACCCAAAATACATTCAATTAATTTAAAAATATTCATGTGTATTTTTGTTTATGTGCTACAAATTTTTCCCCTCTAAGGCTGTTATGGGTCAAATTTGACCTGTATCTATATTTAGATGTATTTTAGATCTAGCAGTATGGGACAAGTGACAAACAGTAACAACCGTGTTCAATATAAGGTTTGTTGTTCAAAAAGATATATTCAAATCATTATGAAACTATCATTACCTTGACAGAAACACATACACACACACACACACACACACACAGAGACAGACAGACATACAGTCACACAGACACACCTACTCTGCTCTCTGAACTCTTTAAAGGGGCAATTTTGACCTGGAACATACTGTGAGGGTACAGGATTTGAACAGTATTATGGTGTTAAATAAACTTCAGTCAATATTGGACCGTTCAGTTAGTCAGAAATTTTAATGATCATTCACAGGAAAAACAGATTACTTCATATTTCCATGGTTTTGATCCGCTGGTATCGCTGTAAGTTTTGTTTCATAATATTCGAGCATGCAGTTGTTGACTCATTGATATTCTGTATGGTACATGTCAACCATCTGGAGACAAATAAAACCTGGAGACTGAAAACAGCTCTCAATACAACAATAGCTGTCGATGTCCAGCAGGTCAGCCGAGACAATCAGTCGTTGTATTGCACCTGGAAGAGCTTGGCTGTTGGACTACACCCCCTCCTCCCTACGTTTCTAATTGTGAGAAGCACACACAAAAACGGAGTCTAATTGTGAGCAAGAGGGATGGGAGTGTGTTATTTAGTGTGAGTCATACAGTAGACACCTGCTTTTTCTCCGCAGAATGCACTGGCTCTGTCCCATCTGGCTCCAGGCTGCCGTGGTTTGCTGAGCAGGAAAAAATGTAAAAAATAAAATCTGATGTTCTCTGGGTCTTACCTCCCTCCCTGCCTCCTCCTCTTCCTCCTCCGGCACCACAGCGCTCTCCCTCGTTTAGATCTATCCTGACCTAAATCCTGTGTGAAAACTACAGCTACATTTCATTTCTCATCACCTCGTGTCGTCAGTTAATAACCTGCAACCTGGGAGTAAGCATTGCTCCATGGCAGATAGATAGAAAGAATCATTGTCCTGTATGAGCTCAATGCCGCGCTGGGGATTGTTATTACTGAATGGGCCTTTCAAGTGTTTCACCAGCCAGGAAAAAGTGTCCAGGGAGACTTAATTTCCCCTTCCACGTCTGTGTCTCGATCATGAAGCATTTACCTGGACACAGAATCATTTTTACATCAGCAAGGCGTCGAGGTGGAGGAATAAATGACACATATACAACTCCAGGCTGGTGTAACAGATAGAGTATGATGAAGAGATGATGAGCGGATATTCGAGATGATGGAGGGAGATGATCCATGGGGAGAAAAGTGACATCCCTAACCTCCATAATCGAGCCTGAGCCACAGCAGGGGGGCCCGAATTGAGCCTGCTCGCTGAATAGACGGTTTAATCGCCCAAATAAA